AATCATATCAAAAGGAATGAAATACTCAATTTTTTAATATAATTTATTTGATTAAAATATTAATTTATTTTTTAATATAATTTTTTTGTGTACGTGTGTGTCATTATTTAAAAAATGTTTTTATAGAAACAAATTTTATGATGTGTTCATTGAACACTTTTGAAAAATGTCATAAACAACTTATTAGAATGCTTCATTACGTCCTAATATCACATTAAGTACTCATGAACAATTTTGATTTTATAATCTTAAAGGGTTCGTTTGGTTTGTGAAATTCAAAAAAATTTGATAAAATTTGAATGACAAATTTCTTTGACCAAATTTCTATTCATTTATTTGGTTTATTTCTTGAAATGGATAGAATCCTTTAAATTTTCATTGAATTTCACAAATCAATGAATTCATCATACTTAGGCATAATGGAAGGAATTGAATTCCATCACTATCCATCTCTTGCCCGCACCACGAGCATGCAATAATTATTGTTCATTACGCCCCACCCCTATTAATTGGATATTCTTATTGGATCCAACCGATATTAATCGGATTGAATCCATCCACTATCCAATGAATGATCGGATCAGATCCATTCAATGTGTTAATTTAGTCCAGTTTTACAACAACAAAACAAATTAATTAATCATTTTCAGTATTTGTTAAAATCGCCCCAAGCAAGTCTAGAAATTCAAAACCCAACACAAAACATATTTCGATTTAAGTAAATTGGAGAAAGATTAATTGAATGATAGTTGGATAATGGTTGGATATGTAACTGGATGGTTATTTGGATATGTAATTTGGATGTTGAGTGGTTATGGACTGTCACTCAAGACCGACCAGTCCAAATTGGATGTTGAAATTTTCAATTCAATCAGATCCAACTACAATAGAATATCCAATCATGATCAATTGGTTCTAATTGGAGCGGTTAACTTTTACACACCCCTGTATAGTTGGTCAACTTTAAAGCCCAAAAAATTAATCGGTACAGACAACACGTCACAAGACTACTAGCTTAATCATTAAAGTAACAAATAAATAATGTTGACCAAATAAAGAGTTGTCTCGGTTTTCCATCATGTCGTTTGTTTGATTAAAAATCAATTGTCGTGTTGAATAAATGCGTCCACAATGTAAATTACCATTTTACCCCTTCCTTTAAAAACATACCAAATTCAAAATAAACTTATCAAAATATGTATGATTTCATTATGGTTGATTACTAAAACCATTTTCCTTGGTATCAAATATACCACTTGGGTTGTGTTATATCGGTCAAGTCTTAGAGGATGTAGTGAAAATTTCATCCACTCTAGTTTAAATCCAGGTGTTGTTAGAGCCCTAGTGATTATGGAGGTTCACTTAAGATGAACCCGAAACTTTTGTGGTCGCCTGACGAATTAGTCGATGTATGTAAATTGCCCAAAATCCCACGGTTACGATAAAAAAAATTACCATAACAAAATATATTGTCGAATTCAAGAAAGAAAGGTTTAAACCATGCAAAACTGCAATTTTAACTTTATTTTTCATTGAGGAATTTAATCGAATAATTGGTGGTAGTGAAAAAACAATGACTCTATAAGAAGAAAGCATGAATTAATTTTGCTAGAAATTAATTGCTAGTTATGAATTTGATGCTCTTTATCTATACTATATTATAAAGTATTTGACCAAAAAAAACTCTTAAAAAATATTTTTTTTATACATAATATACTGTTTATTGATACATATTACTTGAAATCCAAAACTACAAGCAAATTGTGCATAAGTACAACTTATGAAAGCTCCATTTTGAATGTATAATTAACTACAGATAAACATAATCAAATATAAGATAAACATTTAAAACATAATTATGATAATTATTAACATTCAAGAGAATATTTAACTATTATTTATAAAAATATTATATTATTAAAAACGAAATAAATTACTTCATTATTAAATTATAATAAAAATCGAATTAAAGAAGTTATACAAAAAAATGATAACTTTTAAATACTTAATTTGATTTTAATATCGATATGTTTTTCAAGTTTTTATGGGATCTTTAAATTTATATTTTAATTATTCAAACATAAAAATATTATTATTCTTTCAAAATAATATAAAATCATGTTATAACATTGATAGAGATAAATAATAATAAAAAAAATTAAAATTGAGATGTATATCACTGTATTACACGAAATAAAAAGAAACGAGCAATCTTGAAGATTCATGGTTTAGGTGCTGTTTGGGGAATGAGAACGACGGAGAATGGTAATGAATTCCCACCTGTTTAATCTGGAATGAAAATTCAGGGTGGTGGGAAAAGGATCATTGTATTATATAAAATCAAAAAAAAAATTATATTACATCATATTAATTATTGTTTAATACCTCTAACCAAATACTCCTTAATCTACTCGGATTCAATGCGATCGATTATACGAGCCTCAACGAGCAAGACCTTTTGTAAAACTACTCGCCATTCGCGACGAATGTCCAAATGAAGACCTCTTCATTGCTCTACAGCGTATGCTAATGCTTGAGCTCGACCCTGACCCTGACCCTGACCCTGACCCTCTATGCTTATGTCCGCCTTTCGGCGTCCTATCAGGTTTTGTCGACAGTACAAATCGACTACTTGAATGCTTTCCTTGAACAGGACGATGAAGGTTAGCCACTGAGGACTCGTTCATCGAAACCGATCTCCTCAATGCGACTGATGCTTCTCTTTGTACACGAAGATGATCCGCCAAATCGCTACACACCCTGATCGCGCAGCTTGTTTCATTTTGAATTCCACTAGTTTTCGCCACTTCTCGATTGTTCTCGATTTCAACATCCTGGTTTCTTTCCACATGCTCGATAGATTCAGAATCATCGCCTGGGGTTTCCTCAGTTTCGTCAATCAAATTGGAATCAGTTATAGCATTGGTTTGAACACTCGAGTTCTTGAATATGGGAGCTCGACACAATGGGCAACTCGTATGAGAGCGGAGCCAGGTATCGATACAAGGGACATGAAAGGCATGGCTGCACTTGGGCAAAAGCCGAAGACTTTCATCGTCTTGAAACTCGCTCAAACAAACGGAACAGTCGGTCCCTTCGATCAACCCTCCGTCTCGTTTATACTTGAAGACAGCAATGGATTCGATCTCTGATTGGTTGAGACCGACCGAATTGATCAACAAAATGGGATGGGGTATGACCGGACCAAGATCCTGATCAAAGAAAACATGAGGTTCATCTATACGATCGGGATTTCGTCCACGTCGGCATCTTCTGGAGAGTGCGAGGTAACAAATGAAAGAGAAGGAAACAGTGAGACCACAGAACATGAGGATCAGAAATGGTGAGAGTGAACTATTGGCGGAGAAGGATGGTGGCGGAAGAGGTCGCGGTGGCGGTGGCGGTGGCGGTGACGGTGGTTGATAAGCTTCATGACTGTGAGGAGAAGGAACCACGAAGGTTTGCATGGATTTGTTGAGTAGCTTTCTATGAAACATTGGCATGGGGAGTACACAGAGGACAGATGAAACACTAAGGTTACCAAGGCTTCAAGTGTTTTAGTGGGGTGGGGGAAGACCGGAGGACTTGGACCGTTTCTTATAATTACAGTTTTTTGGAAGTCAATTTATATCGGTCAGAGTCGTTTCCTGGCGTTTACGTAGTAAACGGGAGTATGTGGTTTACGTGAATTCTGACAACTGTCGCTATAGTTTTGAAATTGCACCAACGTTTCCATCTATTTAAGTTGTTTGCACTAATTTACCATTTGACCACGCATTTGATGGGCAAAATGTTATAAGGTGTTTGGTTCAGTCAGAGGAATGAAAATGACAAACACTCTCTTTTATTTTCATTCTCATTAATCATATACCTCTAACAAAACATCCCCTTAGAATGGAATCTCACAAAAAATTAGAATATGTATCCTTTCAAGGGTGAGGGTGATGAAATGATAATATTAATTGAGAATGATGGTGGTGGTGGAGATGTTGACAACGGAGGGTGGGGGTGTTGGTTAAATTGGATGAAAAGGGTGATTTGTGTTTTCTCTAAAACAAAAGTATAAATTACGTTTCATATATGTTAAGGAACGATCAAATCCTTCAACGTTAAAGTTTGACGGAATCCAATCAATTCATTCTGCAAATCAAACATTTAAAAGAATTGTCACTCCACTTCCATTATATTCCTTTAAAATTTCGTAAACCAAACAATATCTATGCGTGTGGAAGTTCACTCTTCTTCCTTTATTTTTTAGTGGAAATGGTATGAACCTAAAAATGTTTTTTTTCTGATCTCTCGGAAAGAGACAGAGACAGCTGCCCGCAGCTGGGGAAGTTCGTTGGAGTAGATGCGGGGAAAATCTGAACTGTACCTGAACAAAAATGAGGTGTTTGTGCGAAATTTGGATGCCCCGAAATCTAAATATCCAAAACCCAACTTTTGGGGAGATAAACGGGTCCGGGTTGGGTTTCACCTTTGACCAGCCGACCTGTCTGAAAACCTGAAATATAAATATAATATAATTTTTAAATATCATAGAAATGTATTTATTTATCTAATTGTCTTTTGAAAATTTTAATCTTAACCAACCCTACCTTTTTCTAATTTTTAAACCTATATCGATTCTTCAATCTTCCTCGATCGATTGAAATCATTCTCAAAACTCATTGAACATATATATCGCATACAATTATACCCAAACCTGGAAACCGACCAACCCAAACCCAAACCCAAAGTTCGGGGCTTGGTTTTCCATATCCGAAATCTGATCAGATTATTTGTTTGTCCACCCGAACCCGCTTGATGCACATCCCTAAAAAAAAAAAAGACTGTTGAAGGAAGGCAGCGGGTAGTTGATGTAGTAAGGAGGAAGGCTGTAGAAGCATAAGAGAAATCGGGAAGAGGCAGTCATCCAGAGACAAAAATCTCAATAGTTCCATCCTGAAGGGAAACAAGGGGTCTGGGTTGGCTGGTGGTGAAGGGAAGCAGATGATGGCGGGTGGTGCACGATGATGCACGAGAGGGAAAGGGTCAACGATGGGATGGGTGGTGCCCAATAAGTGGACATGGTGAGGAACTGAGGATTATTTTTTTTTTTAAATACTTGTACAATAAAAAAAATATAAAAAAGAACAAATTTTACCAAAATACCCTAACATTACTTGCATCTGAAGCCATTTCCCATTAGCCGTTAGACAGACATTGCAACTTTGAAAGTATAATCTCAGAACTATCATGGCAATTGCAAGATGAATCACCATTTTGGTCTCAAGAGAGAAACTTTTACCAAAATATCATCACTCCTAGATACTCAAGTCATACAACTATCTATTACCAAGACGCTTCAATTTTGGTTTAACAATCATCAACTTGCATAATCTTCACCTAGAAAATCTCTTCATGTCTTGCAACAAACATGTATACATTTATAGCACAAGTCACAAATTTCTTGCTACCAAGAGACCGTTACCAAACACTTACCGGTAGGCGCTTACTAGCAAGAGCCACCAAACACAATTACCTTGTTGGATAACATTCTCAACTATCAAAATGGATTGTTGGTAAGCAACTCTTACCCAGTAAGCGCTAACCAGGTAAGAGTCTCTTTCTCCCTCACTAGATAATATTCTCGGTCCTTGCTATCCTCTTACCAGGTAAGATTCTTGGTAATTGTCATACTCACTCAGTAAGGTAAGTAACACCAATTAAACGCTTACCCAGTAAAAGTTCAGTAAACGGCTCCTAAATCATCTTTATTCCCTGCCAAAATAGCAAATTTTCATGCTATCCTAAACCAACGGTCTAGATTTATATTATGAGAACCAGTTCTGGTCGGATGTTACTGTTATGTATCCACTAAAATACCAAAGAGCACCATGACCAAACAATTAATGAAATGGATGAAGACATGGAGTGGATTGACCTAGAGGCTAAGAAGTAGTGGGAGCCTTACCAATAGCATGCAGCTCTCATTAAACTGGACCCAAGCCCATCCAACTGTAAAGTAGAAAAAGAAAACATAAAGTGCAAACCATTATGTTCATAGCTTCCCTCAAAAGTAGTCAGAACACAGTGCACCCCTTCCTTTACAGACTGTCCAAGTAATAAATCTAATGCGAAGGAAAAAGAAACCAAAATTGAAACATCATCTTCCACGATAATTGCTGTACCAGGCCAGACAAAAATTCTGACAACCTATGGGACGAAATCATGGGCCTCAGATCTCGAATCTATGCATAGTAGAAAGGGTAAACTCATATCAACTATGGTGTAAGTAAATAATTTGAGGTGCTTCTCCTATAATCACTAGTAACACCAAAAAGATCATCTAATAATAGCATCATATATAATGGACTTGATGCATTAGAAATCAATTAATGGACCATGTGGATTCAACATTGAAGAAGCGTAAACCAGAAGATACCTATAAGTATAACCACAAACATTTAACTTATAAAATCACAACCTAGAAATGTTTGCAAGGATGAAAGTCAAATAAGCATAATATTAAAAAGGATAGAAAATCATGAAACTCCTACAACTAAAGAGTCGACACTCGCAACAAGTAGCATTTTCAATTGAAAAGCAAACAATTACAGAGCATAGAAAGGTCTCGAGCAAGGGAAATTTGTTACTCGTCGGCCTTGGGTGCTTCTTTAATTTCCTCAGCACTGTCATCCTGCATTAAAACCAGCATTACATTGTGAAACAATCGACTACATGAGATTAATAGCAACAGCAAGATCCCATGAAGACTAAAGTAAAACAACTACCTGCATGTCCGAAGTCCACAAAGTGAGGTTATCACGAAGAAGCTGCATTATCAGGGTGCTGTCCTTGTAAGAATCTTCTCCTAAGGTATCCAATTCTGCAATAGCTTCATCAAAAGCCTAGCAAATCACGAAACAACCATTAGCCGGTTTCACATCCATGACTTGAGAATGAATATACCTCATCCTCAAAATTTGATTAACATAATATTATAATAACACAGCAAGTAGAAAGGGTAATCCCAAGTGAATCTGAAAATATCAATCATATACAATTCACTCCTCACCTGTTTTGCAAGATTACATGCACGGTCAGGTGAATTCAGGATTTCGTAGTAAAACACAGAGAAGTTGAGTGCCAATCCTAGTCGGATAGGATGGGTGGGAGCCAGTTCTCCATTTGCAATATCCTGCAACCATGAGATATTGACTGTTACACACTTGCTTTGTTTTGGCATATACCAGATATACAATGATTCCTTTCTGACTGCCTCGTGCCTTGTGAAATAGTTGGAACAAACAAAAACTCAAGTACCCATATGGAACCAAACCACACCTCAAACTCAAACTATAGCCAGATTAAGCAAACACAGAAAGTGCACAAGCATGAGGAGGTCAACAAGATTGACAGGCAGGGAACAGTATAATAGTTTGTCATCAGATGAATGCCACAGATCCTTGAATAGCACATCGACTTGTGTGATATATGAACAGCAACATACAAAATTAGTACATCATTCCAAACTCGGGACTGGTATTCTAGTTTTTTCAGTAATCAAAATAGCAACATCCCAACTGACTATGAAACCATTCTTCATGACATTAATATCATAACATAATGACTAATTTCAAATTTGATTTCAGGGTTGGATCATAAAAGACCTAAAAAAAAGTTTAAATTCTCATTTAAAGGCCAATAATTTAAGGATATTTAATATGGCCAGTCATGCAATGAATAAATTGACATTTGACTTTCATGTTGGATCATAAAAGATCTACAAATGCGTAAATTCTAGGTTCTCAAAATAGGCCACAAACTAAGAAAAGTTAATGTAACAAACCGGGGAATGAATAGTTTCAAATAAGACTTTTGGTTTACAGCCTAAAGTTAAGCCAACATACTCTAACAAGTTCTAATAGTAAGAAACTCGAATCATCAATAAAATAAGTCAAACCCTACATCACAAAGCCAGAAACCCTAACCTGAGCCGCCTTGTAAGCGGAGAGAGTATTCTCAGCAGCTTCTTTCCTCTCAGATCCAGTCTTAAATTCAGCCAAATACCTGTAATAATCTCCTTTCATTTTCAGATAAAAAACCTTTGAATCACCGCTAGACGCGGATCCGATGAGCTTCGAATCAAGAAGCTTGAGAATACCGTCACAGATCGACGATAACTCCGACTCGATCTTAGATCTGTAATCACGGATCGTCGACACGTGCCCCTCGTTGCCCCTACTCTCCTCTTTCTGCTCGATCGAGGAGATGATACGCCAGGAAGCCCTCCGTGCCCCAATCACGTTCTTGTAAGCAACGGAAAGTAGGTTGCGCTCCTCGATGGTGAGTTCCTCGCTGCCGTCTGCAGCAGCGACGACTTTTTCCATAAATTCAACCATTTCTTCGTAGCGCTCGGCTTGCTCAGCAAGTTTTGCCATGTATACATTGTCTTCGCGTGGGGATGATGCGGCGGCCATTACTGCGTTTCTGTGTGAAGAGTGAACACACGGAGAGAGAGATATACAGAGAGAAAAATGGCGAAGAGAAAAGCGGTTATCGTCGCAACCTACTAGATTTTTTGAGTTTTTGCAGAGAGATATTGACCCTTTGTAAAAGGTATTTCTTTCTTCCAGCACAGCAATGACTCATTCCGATATAATTTTCACTAAAATTTACATAAATTACATGTTTAGTCCCTATGTTTTACATTTTATAACGTTTTAAGTCTTTATGATGAAATAATTACAATAAACATCCTTATGTATATGTGTTTTATACTTGTTGAGTCTCTTGTTCTAAATATATTTTGTTAAGTAGGCAATGTTATTAATTTTTGTTATTTTTTAATAATATTAAAACAAGTATATTATATTATATGCACAGAGATGCAAGGACACGGGTCACCATCTCCGATCTCCCCAATATCATCTATCCTGTCACGTCTTGATTGTACTCAAGTGTACCATGTCCCTTGGAATTCGTAAAGAAAACTCATTACAAATTGAAAGGGTGGTTTTGTAATTAGTTAAAGCTCTTATAGGGTTGGGTACTTTGTTAGGGGTTGTTTGCAGTTGTTGAATGGTTTAGTGCAAAATGATTAAGAGATTCTTACAATATAATACAAATGAAATATAATTGTTTGGTAATTGTTCAGAATGAAATTAGGGCGCTTAATGGTTAAAGGAGCCCCAAGATACAAAACCGTTCAGATGGTTTTAAAATCATTAAGAGACATGATTTTTTTGTTAAACAAGATTCACATCTTAACGATTCAGATGTTGACTCTTAATGAAACCATTAAGAGGTGAACAAACAGCCCATTAGTCTTGTTTAAGTTGTATGGGTAATGTCTTGTATGATTTGGTGTGAATAGTGTATGTGTTTGTTTTTTTCTATTTAAGAAACTCAATACACATGTTCCCAAATAATCTCTCTCTCTCTCTGTTATAAAACTCACTGGCAGCGATGACCCAAACCCAATGTCATCTGCATGGAGCTTTAATCCATCAACTTCAACATAAGTGTTGTTTATTTCTTCTATCGTTTTCACTAAGAGATACTCCAAATCACCCCCAACTGCTTCAAAAGGAGGTAAATTGAAACATGTAAGGCAAATACTGTCCAGAAGCATTAGATGTACACATTTGCATGGAACTCGAAATCCGAAGGCTTAAAAGCATATGATATGTAAATATCAAGTACCTCCACATCCAGAACTTCACCTTTTTATCTCTCCCACCTTTAACCTAATTAAAGAAACCATCAAATACAGAACTTAAGATAACCATTTGGTCGTTTTCGACTAAACCATTATAAAGCAGCAAGTATTCTACTTGGGATGAACAAAACTTGGGTTTGCACATACAGACAACTTGGATTTGCGATGAAACTTCTATTAGCACCGCATAAACACAGCTCCCCACTTTCTACCATTCATTCATTACCTCGTTGCAATATCTTCATCCTTTATATGAACAAAGCCCTCTATGCTGTTACTATATGGGTTTGCTTCAATTTGCCCATTATATCTTCCATTTCAGCACCAAAGTCCACATTTATGTTTCCTTCCTAATACTCTCTACCAAATGGATAGTTAAACCTTTTTTTAACAACGAAAGGGTTTTTAGACAAACGGGCAAATGGATATTAGTGTATGTCTTCTAAGAACTTTTAATTCTATAACAGAAATCAAGGAAAAGATAGTAAGATGACAAAAATACCCCTAAGGTCACTTAACAGAAAATTTTTTAACGAAGTTAGGAAAAAGAATACGGGACATAATAAAATGAATTTCATGTATGTGTTTTTGTAATTATAATATTTTAAGCATTTAAAAAATTAAAATATCGTATCTATTTCTTCATTCGATCTTATTGTCTATAAAAATAAAACATAATTTGATTTGCAGGTCGAACAAGTAGTTAAATCTGTAAGTTACTCTCTTATAATAAGTTGATTGGTCTAGCCCCGCATAGTCAAATCAGAATTTTAAAACGGGCTGATAAGTTTTATCAATCAAATCATCCCAAAATTGCCTCGTTTGGGGATCTACAAATCACAATAGGAGGAGCTCTACGTTGGGTATCTCACATCCTCTGACACCAGCGTAGGGTTTTAGTGTTCTAAAAACTATGTAATAACAATCATTTTCTTATTAAAGTCTATATAAAAACCTAAATGCACCACATCCCAAATACATTATTATTCATTCTAAATATATGAAAATATGACACTTCTTAGCAACAAGTTGGTGATAGAGCGATAAAAAGTTCCCATACAACGAAGGTGTTTACCTCCATGAGTAACATATAAATGTGCATAAATATAATATGAAGTCGAAACGTAATTCAGTGAAGGTTTTTTGATAGTTACAGAACTCGGGAAATGTGTGTATGCGTTCCTTTGAACACGTACACAAATGAGAGAATCGTTGGGGAGCGGAGATATCACAGAGAAAAATAATTTCTATGAAACAATATCACAAAGAACTTAACGTTTTCAACTAAATTCAAGTCAACATATCGCAGTGTTCGTCATCAGAAAACCATAAACGACAGATATAATATAATTTTAATTTGGATGAATTAATAAAAATAACTATAAAACATTTTAAGTCTCAAAGTTTGACATGTGAAAGAATTCAATATTTCATGGCTTTTAAGTTCGAACATCCATAGAAGGACAAATTAGAACTTTTGTGATGTTTCTAGATAATTTCCTCTTTAAGTATAAACAATTGACCCTGTCTAACATTTTAATGACCTTATGAAGTTTTCCCGATCTATTTTGCTCTCACACATTTCAATCATTATATTCGAAAGTTTTCGAAAACACAAAAATACTCAGCAAATTTGATATTCAGCTCACTTGTGTTATCCCATAGATAATTATACATTTGTGATTGAGTTCATTTGAGTGTTTAAGATCTATTCGATCTCTTACTTAAGTAAAGGGTTTGCACCATTGGTTGTACAAACGATTTTGTTCCATCTTTAAACAACACACTGTGGTGGACCGTGTTCTTACAAGGTGGGCTTAGAACGTGTAGAGTAGCCAAATTTGGTTGAACTCTTTAATTATGCACTTTCATTGTTTAAGTTGAAACGTTGTGGAAAACCCGGAATCTTTTATCAAACATGGTTTCGATTCCGTTAATTATTAGCTAATCTTGTGATTCCCGAAATTCATGGGTATTTAAATATATACACCTAATTATTAAAATCTCTTAGCATCAATTTTGGACATATATTCCTTTGCATTTGTAGCCATTCAAATATAATAACTAACTCCCCTAACTTAAAAGACATGGCTAGAAAATATGATGACAATGATTACCCAAAATTATGTTGTTTTTTATGCATAATCATTTTGTTATTAGGAGAATAAATAAAATGACAAGTTAAAGGAGAGTTTATCATTATTCGTCATGTTTATATCACTTTTCGGAATTGTTAGAAACGTGTAACATCTGGATTTTTAAATCATTATTATGGGAATCATGCTTTGAAATTCACTGTGTAGGTCAACTAAATGAAATGTTTCGATGACTCTAAGTTGTGGGATTTAGTTATGCAAGAAGAGTTTTGGAAAAGAAGAAAAGCTATAAAGAACAGTGGGTTACGCCGCTTGGCTCGCGGCCTCACCCACGGCCAAGGTCGTGCGGCCTTCTGGAATTCAGAACTGAGAGCATTGGGTTATGTGGGTTATTCTGCGGCCTAAGCCGCGACCCTAAGCCACGAATATGGGACAGTTGGTTAGATTTAGAGCTGCATTTTGAGGTCTTTTACTTCATTCTTTTTCATCTTCATCTTTCTCTTCATTGAAAGCTCCATAGCCAAACCCTAGGTCGCCCTAGGTCGATTTGGGAATTCAAGACCATTTATGAGCATTAAAACTCAAAGATCCTAGTGAGTTCCTACTTTTGCAGCTATAGGTTTGCATATTTAACCAGTATGGGAGAAGACTCAAGATCCACCATTCCCTTTCATTTTGCTTGATTTTGGGTTTTTCTTGAAAACCTAGCTAGTGAGTTCATCCTGTATACCTTTACAAAACAATATACATGTCAAAATGTCGTATTTTAGTTCTACAAAGCTTCAAGTATTTCATGTTTGGGTGATTTTGAACTAGCTAAGTCAAACTTTTAGGGTTTTGAAATTTTGTGCATTTTGATAAAATAAGTGTAGCAAAAGTCTTTATATATATATATATATATATATATATATATATGTGTGTATATATATATGTATGTATGTATTTGGGATAATTGCTTCAAAGTTTTGACGAGTTTTGAGCACTAAGGATTATAAATGTTTTTTTTAACTCGACTTGTTGATAAAATGAGATTTTACCCAATTGGTGGCTATCTAAATATGATTATTTATGTGTTGAATATTGTTGGGTACATCTAAAATATTATACACTATAGACTGTAAAACAATAGATCCATAAAGTATATAAGTCAATTCTTTTATGTAATGCGGGATAGTTATTTCCCTTTTGATAGCTAGATACGGGTATTATATCATTGGATGACTCAAATGTAGATCGCGGATGGTTGAACTTGATGATCGTGTATCATGTAAAGATCTAATTCTAGCCAAAGAATATTTCTTAGACAATGGAGCACTCGAACTATAGATCGTGGGTGGTTGAACTCGATGACTAATCCTTCATAATAGAATCTCTATAACATTGAAATGTGGTTTACTTATGTGTTGTGTCACTGTCAATGGTAAATCGGGTCTCCCCGTTATCTTATGATGTTTTTCACTATTCCATGCATATATAAAATCTTAACTATAATAATGACTTGATTAAAGCTATGTTTCTAGTCTTAAATCTTTTATAGTTTTATTTTGTAACTACTTGTCCTCACTAAGCATCAAGTGTAACAAAAAATTTTATATGACATGTATATCATGATCGCATAGCAGCAGGGCTCTCAAGGTCTGAGCGGAGCGAGGGTTGTCGTTAGAGGCATTTTTGAGATGACACTTTTGGCGATACATAGTGTCAGACGTTGATTAGAAATCTTTTGGTGACTGTAGCGACACCGGTTGTTAATATCTACCTAGTTGGTTTAGATTATTACGTTGTTAGCTACCATTCTTGTTCATTTGTTGTAAATGCTTACTTTCCCCAATCTATTAGGGGATTATATTGATCCAAGCACCATTTCTGTATTATTCTTTAGGTGTAAATTTGCTCCTATGTTACGGGTGTTACAAAACGTCACCATGTGTTTACTTTCTTATTTACTTTCATCGGAAAGAATGAGGGTTTCACGACTTATTTGAAACTGCTTCATCGGTCATCAAATTTCCGAGTGATACAAAGTACAAATATCCAAGAGATTTAAAACACAGAGAGTATGAAAAATCAAGATAAGGATAATGACTTCTACTTTGTAGTTTTGTGGTACCATTTTATTTTATCACGTGCAAAAGATGGTAACATATTTAATAAAGTATATTCAGGTTTCGTACTTGATGTTTGTTATTTTTAACTAAATGGGTTCATAGACTTCGTTTATTACAAATTTGTCTCAGGTGATTACAAAGTTCTTTAAATATCGCCCCTTTCCCTGACGGGTGTTAAGTTTTCTATAAAGTTCACTTGAACGAGGGGCTTTTTTGTATTTTTTACAAATTTTCTTAATTTCAATTACAATATTAAAAATTAAATTATATAACATAACCAAAAACACTTCCACCTTCGACCCTTGCCATTCCCTTCCTTATCTGATAGATTGAATTCCCTTACCGCCCCTCCAACGATCACTGATGTTCTTATGTGACCAAAAGATGTGAAATGCGAATCAAGAAGAGGGTGTAGATAACTTTGATGAATCAATTTGAATCGGAAATAGATTTTTCTAAGGCTCGTATATTCGGTATCACAAGAACTCAACTAAATATCGTAATCGACAAATAGCAACAATAAAGACTCAACAGTTAACAGTTGCACATGTCGATTGATGGCTCAACCTAACCTTGTGTTCTTATTTTGAAGATGTTACTCCTCTCAAACTCTACACTATTCGTTGTAAGTGTGTGTTCTTGCCTATGCTTGTACGTGTACGTGTGCAGTCCAACATGTTCCTCTGTTAAGACTGATCGAGTACTTATGATCGAAATGGCGATGCATCTTTGTAACACTTGGGGCTTGTCCTTTTGTTCTTTATCCTTGTGTTCGGTTGGGAGTCCCAAGGCAACTAGGTGTACTTTTGTCACTTTTTATGTATTATTTGCCAGAGGTACTGCTCCTTTTTTCAAAGAAAAAAAATGTTTACAAAGATCTTTGCGGAACTTACGTTGGATAGCGTGAGAACTCATGGTTGTGGGAAATGAAATGAATTGGTGATCAGATTCCATTAAGAAATAATCATCGTGAGATGTAAATGATATGTAAAGTTTAAAAGGCATTTGTCTAATTTATTTTGGGTATAACAACATGTAGATGGGAATTGGATGATACGATAAACAAAGTCATAAAAGACACACAAGACGCCCAACAAAACGAAAGAAACAAACGAAAATTGTACGATCAACCGAACCCAACTAACACACACAAAAAAACACGAACATAAGCTAATAAGATGTAGATGCTACAAAAAGAACCCTACCGAAAAAGGAAAAAAGGTTAGTAGGTTAGCGGTGGATGAAGGTTTAGGTTTAGGTTTGGGTTCAGATTTGAGATGGATATGATTTTTTAGGTTTTGATTCATATTTGAGATCGAGAATAAAGGGGAAGCTCACAAGTGGTCGGTGAAGGTTGCAGGCAGTGATCAAGGTGGCATTAGGTTTTGTTTCTTGCCAGAAAAAGGCGATGTTAAAGTTACAACTGGAAACGAATGGTATTTTTTGGCCCGTGATGACGAGGTCCCAAGACAAACACGACTGGGGGTGGGATCCATTTCTTAAAAAGTTAAAATAATTTAAGATATAAAATGACTATATTGCTCTTTATATAATTGAAACTAACAGAAAACGTTAACGTACATACCAAATAAATTTGGCAAACATAAAAGACAAACTTGTACCAAATAAAAGGTCAAGGACTAAACCCGAAATGTTACCCTATTTATTATGGGTTTTTCTAACCCCACCCCTTCCTATGGGTTCATGTGGGGGGGGGGGGTGAGATTGTGTATGGGATGAGTATGTGAAGGTGAGAGTGAGGAAAAGTTGTGAGAGTGAGGGTTGATGTGAGGAGAAGGGGAGAAAAGTGATATAGGGGGTGGGGATATCAACCCCTTTTATTATTCAGGTTTTAAAATACATAAATATGTTAAATGTTGAGTTCAGTAAAAATGAAAGTTATGTCGAAAATGATAAGAAAAATCTTTAATTAAGATCTTTATTTTTTTTTATCAATTTTAATTGAAGATCAACGTTAATACAATATATCGAAATACATCAAATCAATTTTTATGATAAATACAGGTAATAAAAATAAAAATAAGATTAAAAATATCAACGATATAAAATAATTGAAATAGAAAAGCACAAGTATTGCGTGATACATATCTGTTGGGGCCAAACACCGTGTGAAAGAGTAACGTGGCACGTGTATATCGTATGCTCTGTCTCCTACCCTCCCCTTCCATCAACCATCTTCTTCCACATCCAACCCCTCAGTGCTTTCATCAATCATCACCATTCACCAACACCGACCTCCTCATTCCCCCTCTCTCTCTCTCTATATATGCGCTAAAGACTGATCTCTGCTACTTACAATTGCTTTTGATAACGAAATTTCGAGGCTTTGTAGACGTCATCCATGGTGGAATTTCCTTCTTCCAGTGATAGCAGTAGTAGCCATGACGAGGGTCATGAACAGCTCGAGTTTCTCCACCCGACGACAGCAGCCGTTGCAAATCTCTCTCTTTCATCGGAAGCGTTTCTCGGAGCTGCTATTGCTCTCAAAGAGCAGGTATTTCGTTCGCTTTTTGTTTATAAACGCGATTCTGTTCTTCAATAGATTATATCACTCTTATGAAACTGTTGCTTTGTGAAATTTTGGAAATATAAGAACATTTCACTTCCAATTTTGGATGAATCTCGGTGCATAGAACACGATCCATATTTCACTTTTCGAGTGCGGGATGAGTTCAACATCAACAGATTTCAAGTAGAACTCACTTAAATTTAAAGGAAATGTTCTGAAGTAAGCTAAACCATTTCAATTTGAGTTCGAGATCTGAAACCTCTAGGAGTAGAAGATGGTACTGTACGATTACTTGGGGGATAATGATGGAGGTTAGGTTTTGGTAACCTACTGATTCTTTCTGTATGTGCAAATGATGTACCAGGTAGTGGAGGCGACGTGGACAGATGGATGTGCCGGAGGTGGGGATATCGTGGACCCGACGGTTTACACCGGCTTGTTGGGGACAGCGTTCACCTGTTTGCGGCTCTATGAGGCTATTGGTAGTCACCAGGAATTGCAACTGTGTGCCGATATCGTCCACACTTGTGCTGCTGCCATCGCTAACACTTCCACTAGGTATTAATCTCATGATTATTAATTGGTTGTTACGTAAAAATGAATTTTACGAACCAAATTCACTTTTTAGTATTTTTTAAATTTGGATCTCATTTTAATTAGAGTTTGTGCAAACAATTTTTTTTAACTTAGGAATGTTTTGAATTGTTTATAAAAACAACTTATTAACTTATTTTGGTATGGCACTGGTAATAAACATTTTTGAGTGTTTGGATAAACAACTTATCTAAATTCACAGCAAAAACAAATTGAATACCATAACAACTTAGTTAGAATGATCATAGCAAAAATAAATTGAATACCATAAGAACCAAATTCACAATAAATATAGTGTAAGGATCTTAGTCAAAAAATATCAATACGTAGGGGACCAAATTCACAATTGACTAGTTGCAAAAAAATACTAAGGTCCCATTTGGAAATAGATTTGGGTCAAATCCATTTAATTGAAATCAGGATTTTGAAATCCTAAGTATTCGTAAGATTGTATGAAATAGGATTTTAAAAAATGTTAAAAACATTTGTTTTGTAATAATCGATTTATAAAAATGTAATTTAATTATTTTTATAAGTTATTTATAAATAATGAAATTCAATTACATTTCAAATCGTATAAACCAAACACAACAATGATTTTAAGTTCATTATAATCCAAATCTCTCAAAAACATTCCTGCAAACCAAATAGAACCTAAAAATTGAATTTGATTGGAGGGTCAATTTTAAAGGAGAAATTAATCTCTATTGTTTATGTGAAATAAATAAAAAACAGGTATATGACGTTTTTGTGTGGAAGAGGCGGGATATACGCCTTGGGTGCGGTGGTAGCGAATCTTTGTGGAGACCATCACAGGCGCAATTTTTATCTTGGCGAATTTTTGGAGGTACAGTTTTTCCTTTTTTTTACCATTAATGTTAATTTTTACCATTAATGTTAATTTCTAGGATTGAACATGTTGATTTTTTTAAAGGTCAACATAATATTATTAAAATTAAAGAAACATGTCGGTTTTAAATTAACAACTTTTGCATGTTAACTTGAATCCATGTAAATTTCTAAAAAATGTGTAGTATTTTTGGAGTTGTAATTATAACTTTATTTGATTGTAGAGAAATAATGATTTTAATTTACTTAAAAACTATTTTGTCAAATATGTCTAGCTAAAATGATACAAAATCAAACAGTACAATAAAATTGGGTTTATATGACATTAAAAGTATTCGAGTATTTTAAAAGACTATTCTATAGAATTTAAATATATAGAACTGAATATTTGTGTTTTCCATCGAAAAGTATTGTAATAAGTTTGTAGGACGTTTTTGAACACTTGCTTAATTATTTTGGGACATTATTTACATAAATTAACAAATTATTTTATTACTATAATCAAGAATACAAATCATTTGAATGCATTGCAAGAGATATTCCCTTATCCACAACACAATGGTGGTGGGTCCATTTTAAGGCATAATTATATGGTAGAGGGTCATTTCAAGATCCTCGTAAGGATTATATCGATATGGTCTTAAAAGGCCGTCTGTTCTTTATTTATTAAATGGTTGGACAACTCATGGACATGTCAGCAGATGTTTTGTCAACTACAGCAACTTAAGGGGTTGTTTGTGGAAATAACCCCATACTTATCAATTTACACAAAAAATTCACAAAATAACTATCGATTACTCATCAATCACCGTTTACTGGTTACATGGGCCCTTTTATAATTAATAAAGTTCTGATTTTTTATTTTAAATATATATATATATATATATATAGCCATATAGGGGTGGGTCCCACTCTTACACACCTCCCACCATTTGAGGTTTAAGTGCCCCCACATGATTTAATTAATCATGTTTTTTAATATAAACTAGTACAAGAATCGAGCGTTGCCCAATAACATGAGTGTTTTGGTTAATAATGTAAGGATTGTTTATATAAATATATATTAATTGTTAATAAAATTATCAACAAACCATATTCAAATAATTTGAAAAAGTTAAATAAAATATAGTTAGTGAAATTTTAATACACATATATATATATATATATTGAGAGCGAGATTTGTTTAGTAATAAAGTTGTAAAACTAAATAAAATGAGTAATAATAACGACGGAAATATTAAGAAATCTGACACAAACTTAAGAATAAAAAAATATTCCACATAAAGATATCTCCTTCAAAGGCTGATGTACATGTACCATTTTCATCTTTAACACACACCTTGACTTTAAAAACACAATAGTCAATAGACCAACCATACGATATACCAAACTTAAAACTTCAAATCTTTATAACCTAATAGATAAAATTATAATGCAATCATAATCATAACATGAGCATACATAGAATTATAATACAACTAAACTTACGATAAGAACATACTTAAAAATATAATCCAATCAAAATCATGATACAAACATACATAACATTCTAATACATTCTAAATTACAAAATAAACTTGCATAAAATCCTTACTTTAGATCATAATCAAAAATTCTCACAACTCAAACTTGAAAAAATCAAATTTTCAAGACTTGATATATAAACGTTAAAGACTTCGAAAACCTGCAAACCAAAACCATAAGTAAAAATTACATGGTGAACTTGAACATTTTAAATCTTCACCTAATACATAAGAGTTATAATGCAAACAAAAATCACGATACAAACATAAATAAAATTATAATGCAATCAAAATAATGAAACAAATCAATATAAATTTTTTACCTTATATTGCAACCAAAAAATCAAATATTAAACTTGAAGATTTCTTCAAATCTTCATGACATAATGCATAAAAACTATAATGCAATCTAAATAAC